ACCATTACATAAAAATTTCGATAATATTCGTTGTTTTCAAAACTCTTTATCACGAATTGTCTCACAGAAATTACAAAATTTTTATCTAATATGAAGATAACAGTCAGAATTTTGCCATTGAAATTTGATTATTTTTTCAAGAAGATCGTGTATAAGTCCGAAACGGGTGATCTCAGACCCATATTATAATAATTATATCATTGAACTCGTCATTCTGAGCTTCATCCAAAGATGGAATGAAATAGGGTATTGTTCCATTCGGAAATTTGTAAAAAATTATCGTTTTTCAAAATACATCATCAGTTTTGGCCAATGCGAAATTCATAAACTTTTACCTTGGATCAAGAAAACATACAAAATTTGTTAATTTATAGCGGGAACTGCGAATCGAAAACTTCATTCACAACGTTTCTATAGAGCTTTGGAATTGGGCAATTTATTGAAGAAGATCGTGTATAAGTCCGAAACGGGTGATATCAGACACATGTTATGATATATCATTGAACTCGTCTTCCTGAGCTCTATGCAAATTCGGAATGGAATATAGGGTGTTCCATTTGAAAATCTCGAGATATTTATTGGTTTTCAAAATACGTCATCACTTTTGGCAAATTGAAAATTCCTCAATTTTCACCATAGAACAAGATAATATACAGACTTTGTTAATTTATAGCGGAAACTGCGAATCGAAAACTTCATTCGCAACGTTTCTATACGGCTTCGAAATTTGTCAATTTATTGAAGAAGATCATGTATAAATCCGAAACTGGTGATCTCAGACCCATGTTATTATATATCATTGAACTCGTCTTCTTAAGTACTATCTAAAAATATGATAAAATATAGGGTATTCTATTTGAAAAAACATATGGACCATCCTGTATAAATGAAAGTATCTAAAAAATAAATTTCATAAGAAGTAATACAACTTTTATTCTGAACTTTTTTCTGTATATATAATAGTTTACCAGATAAGGGGGTGGCCCATGTTATGTGGGATACCCTGTACTTTTCACTATGATACGATAGCACTGCTACACTACCTTAATGTTCAGATTACTATCAAACACTTGCTGGGCTCATAACCTATGGTGGAAGCATGTGGTAGTAATAATACAACGTGAACTTCAGCTAATGAAAAGTAATTATAATATGAACTTGAAATTACATAAAAGAACAAACTTTGTTTGTTAACATGAGAACAAAAGCGTAGCTACTTCTTCTTCTCTTTGGGTTCATTGGATTTCTGTTTCCTTTCGGAAACAATTTCTCCAGATCAGGTAATTAATTTTTTCAAGAATAAATACTTGGTTATGTAATAATATTTTCACTCGACTCGCCACATAAGACACCAATTGTGTATCACAATGGCCTGAAGCCGAGTCATCAGTGTTCATAAGATTCGATCGTATGTACTCCTCTTATCCAGCAAATCCGTTGCTGATCCGGCCTGTTTACCGGCGTAAAAAAAATGGAGCACGTTTGACTTCAAGTATGGTCCCCTTATCCGATGAATCCGTCCGGCCTCTATACCGGCGTAGAGATAACAGAGCCTGATATTTCTCACTCACACTTATTAAACTTCACATTAAATATTGCATTTCAATCCAGATCAGGTAATTAGAAAATTATGGACTTCACACACATTAACCTGACTTTTGGCCTGGAGACGCCATGTTTCTCCTACCGTGGCCAAATGTCGAACTACTGACTTGACAATTAAGAAGGATGCTTATAATAATGACGTAATAGCACTGTCAAAATTTTCAGTTGTACCAACCTAATTCTAGTAGTGCTGCCAACCTGATATAAACTCAAAGTAACATTAATATAATTTTGATTGTCTCCACTCAACCACAATTTCTGGTCGAACCGGAAGTAACAGAAAACAATTGAATACGTCAAATAATGCATATTTATACAGGGTGTTTCATTGAGAAAGGTAAATAATTCAACTGTGGATAGGGGTTACTCAGGTGATTTCAAAAAACCCATGGTTAATGGGTCTTCAAAATCTTGTAACCGAGATACGGGATGTTTCATCAATTTTGCTCATATCTTCATTGTCTCATAACTTTCCAACCAACCTGTATATTATTTTAAAAATTGGTACACTCACTCAATCTATCCTGTCAAATTGATTGAGGCATCAACAAAAAATAGAATCCAGGTCCGGCTTCACTCAACATTCACAAATTTTTTTCTACCCATAAACAACACCCTATACATTTGAATTTCAAAATTATTTGGCCATATCTGAGAAGAGCATCAAAGTGTCTATTCAACGATGTGCTTTCTATTCATGCACAGACGATTTCAACTATCCATATTATGTGCTCAAAATATTGTTTTTGCTCATTTTGGGGTACAAATTGGAATCAGACAAGATTTATTAATTTTATTGCTTCCAATTCAGTCTACTTCAGTATTACGTTTTGGAGGAGTGTTTTATATCGTTCTTTGTATCCATCCAGACTATTAGAAAATATAGTTGCAGGTCCGCAATCAAAACTATACAGGGCTTTTCACGATGAGCTTTAATTAGACGTGTCTGGCTAACCATGCAACGGATAAATCTGAAAGTGTCTGAAAGTATGTATAAATCAACATGATCTACACGTCTGAAATATTTGAAACGATCCGGCGTTGCCGCTTCTACTAGAAAGTAGCAGTAACTTTGATTTTTCAAATGGGACACCCTGGATTCTTCTTGAAGAGCTGATTTAGTGGGACTAATAACTGAGATATTTAGAGTGTGAAAAATTGAGATGTTTCTACTTTAGAAATATTTTGTGGCGAAAACATTTGTTATTGATCAAAACGGCTTTCATGTCCCTATCGTAACTTTGTATTCACTATCTACTGACATTTAGTCCAAACAAAAACATGGTGGTTCATAATTCAGAATTCTGCACCACCCTGTATCTATTTCAATTATCAATCGATAGTAAATGGAAAGTTGAGATAGGGACATGGATGCCGTTTTGATCATGCAATAATAAATACTTTCAACACAAAAAATTTCTAAAGTTGAAACATCTCGATTTTTCACATCCTATATGTCAGTTATCAGTCCCGCTAGACCCCGAATGTTATGAATCGATGAAATCAGCTCTGCAGGAAGAATCCAAGAACGTAATGAAATACAGGGTATACCATTTGAAAAATCGAAGTTGCTGCTACTTTCTAGCAGAAGCGGCAACACCGGATCGTTTAAAATATTTCAGACGTGTAGATTATTTTTAATACATACCATCGAATTTTCAGATATATCCGTTGCCTGGTTTGCCAAAAACGTCTAATTAACACTCATCATGAAATGCCCTGTATAGTTTTGATGGCGGACCTGCAACTATAATTTCTCATAGTCTGGATGGATACAAAGAACGATATGAAACACTCCTCCTAAACGTAATACTCATGTAGACTGAATAGGAAGTAATAAAATTATTAAATCCTCCTATGATTTCACTTTATACCCCAAAATGAGCAAAAATAATATTTTGAGCACATGATATGAGTAGTAAAAATCGTCTGTGCATGAATAAAAAGTACATCGTTGAATAAACATTTTGATGCTCTTCTCAGATATGGCCAAACAATTGAGAAATTCAAATATATAGGGTGTTGTTTTTGGGCAGAAAAAAAATGTGAATTTTAAGTGAAGCGGGACCTGGATTCTATCTTTTTGTTGATACCTCAATCAATTCGACATGATTCGATAGTATACTGGTTGGTTGGAAAGTTATGACACAATAAAGATATGGGCAAAATTGATGAAACATCTCGCATCTCGGTTGTCGAAGACTCATTAACAATGGGTTTTTTGAAATAAATAAATAAATAAATATAAATATATTTATCAACATTTACAATGAAATAACATGAATAATCAGACAGATTAATATCTAGTATGAGATTATTCATGCGTTATTAAATTGAATTATATTTATTGGAATAAACAACAGATTCAAAAGTAATGATAATTAAATAAAGAGCTCATGAAAAGTACATTATGACATGAAATAAATTAGTGAATGGGAAGTCATTCACTCAGGTTTGATTTTGTCTTTGCAAGAGGATATGTTTCTTGACTTTAACTTTGAATTGGGTGATATTTGTGCAATTTTTGATATCATCAGGTAATTTATTGAATTTTGAGATAGCCCCGTGAGTGAAATTTTTTTGGCCAAGTGTAGAATTAGCAGCATCAAGATGAAACAAGTCATATTGTCTAGTATGATGTTCATGGATTTGAGAATTCCTTACCAATTTGAAGTTAGATTCGAGGTGTTTGTTGATAATATCAAAAGAAATTTTGAGAGTATTTATCAGATAGTGCTCTTCCAAAGAAAATTTATTATTTTCTTCATAAAGTTGATTTGATGGGGTGTCATATGGAAGACGATACAATACTTTTAATGGTTTTTTATATAGTACAGATATTTTGTTGAAATTATTCTTGGAACATTAACCCCAAATATTTATGAGATAGTTCATTTTACTAAGAATGTGAGAGTATAGAACGGTATTTGCTATATTTGGGATAAGTTTTGAACATCTTCTTAGGGCACCAACTATGGGAGAAATTTTTTCATTGAGCATGCCAATATGCTTGTCCCATGTTAACTTTTCATCATTCCAAATACCAAGGTATTTGGTATAGGCAGTTTGTTTCAATCTTTCATTATTCATTCTAATATTCAAATCAATATTTTGTTTATTTCTTTGATGGAGAATTATGTATTGGATCTTATTAGAATTGAGGGAAAGAAGATTGTAGTATAGCCATCCTTCCATTTTCTTCAAATCCTCATTTATGTTGTTTTCTATCCACAGTTGAATTATTTACCTTTCCCAATGAAACACCCTGTATACTATACTCAGACATTGAATTTCATTTCCTCATTTCTAGATACAAAAAAGTTATAGTGGTGAGCCACGTTTAAGAAACACCCGGTATTGCCATGAGGTCATTCTGGAAGCTAATTTTTTTTCAGGTTATGTCAGCCCTGTCGTCGAAAAAGAGAAGGTCGATCCTGTTGCTGCGATCGCTGGCGTATAACATAACGGGCAGCTCGGAGCTGCTGAATTTGAAGGAGGCCGGCGACCTGCTGTACAGCATGTCCACGTTGAACTTTCCCGACGAGAACTTGCTGTCGAGGATCGCCGCCGACACGTGTTCGGAGCTCGAAAACGCTGGCTCCGAACTGGAGAAAATCGCGAGGAAGAGCTCGGTCGTCGGGTCTATCTTGACCAGCGTCGGTCTGCTCAGATACAAAAATCCAGGTACAAGTCGAGTCCAGGCATTGATTGCTACAATAGACATGTAAAAAGAGGGGAGCCAGAACATTTCATTCATAAAACACTATTTGTTTACAATCATACATACTTCTAAAGTTTCAAATAAGTTAGATAGAGATGGCTTTAAAAAATGGCAACGCTGTAAACTGTGCGTCAATGTTCACACTCTTATTCGCAAGGCGCGTAAGTTGAGCGAGGGGCAAGACACTTTTACTACAATGACAACGCTATAATACCTATTAGAAAATGTTTGGGTCTAATCTTTCAATTTTGATACCAAATATTTCTAGTACTGTAGCAGCAGGACAAGAGTGTCGATACTCTATACGTTCCATAATCTTTTTATTCACCCTACACCTGAGATTTTATTACGTAACCGGCATATCACTTGCCGGTTTTACCAAAGTACCTTAGGTACTTACCTAATTTTGATCCATCATTAAGTGGAATTTGAACAAAAAAACAACGTTTCTTGTCATAGTTTACTTATATAACCTTTTAGCGTCGAAATACCAATTTTGGGTTTGAAAGGTGAACTTTTTCACAATTCACGCATTGGCGAACCATAATAGACTAGTAATAACTGTCTTTCTACAGTTTTATAACAAGAAAACACTGAAACTCAAGTGAAACTCAAGAAGTCCTAGAATGAACGTCGGCTGTTGACATACGTGAATAACTTTAAGAAAAATGTGCGTCTCCTAGTAAACACGCCAATACATCGTTGCCATAGTTATCTCCATAATACATTATAATTTTATGTTATGATGAAATTAGGGAAATTTAAATTATTTCAATAGTAGCATTCAGCATTCACATATTTCAATTGAGGAACAAACATACAGAATGAATATACATAAAAAATAATATATTAAAAACTTCCCATCCTCAATATCTTCTTTCCAGTAAATTATATGAAAAATCAAAAAGACAGGTCGATTTTATTTTCAAGAGGGACACCTAAAATTGAATATTTTAGCCCTCTTGGTTCGACCCCCTAGAAGTTAGAATCTTAAATGGTAAGGGGGGTCAAATGGCATATCATTCTGAAGAGCGTTCAAATCTCTTTCCAACGGTACCCTAGTTCATAATTTTCTGTTGAGCAGTTTCCGAAAAATGCAGTGTCAATTAAAAAACTTTAGACCTTTAATTTCTTCCAGTAATTAATATGAAGAATCGGAAACATAGGTCAATTTCATTTTCAAGGGGGCACTTTGGATGCTTATTTTTAGCCCTCATGGTTCAACCCCCTAGGAGGGGAAAATGTTACCCTTAGAACCTCATTCGAAAAGGGGGCCAAAATGCAGATTATTTTGAAGGGCGTTCAATTCTGTTTTCAACAGTACCCTAGTTCATCATTTTCTGTTGAGCAGTTGTCGAAAAATGCCGTGTCAATCAAAAAACATCCCACCTTTCTTCCAGTAAATAATATGGAAAATCGGATAGACAGGTCAATTTCAAGGGGAACCACTTCAAATGCTTATTTTCAGCCCTCATGGTTCAACCCCTAGGAGGGGAAAATGTTACCCTGAGAACCTCATTTGAAAAGGGGGTCAAGATGCACATTATTTTGAAGTGCGTTCAATTCCTTTTCCAACAGTACCCTAGTTTATCATTTTTTGCATTTTTCGAAAAATACCGATCTAAATTTACAGGAGTAATATGAACATGCCTGCACTGAATACTGAGATGCATTGTATTTCAGTTTAAATGGATGAAAGATTTTGAATTGAAAGGCGAGTCAATACAATAATACCAACCTGATTATAGATACCGTAAGGCACCTCAACGTTATAATCAACTTTCCGCAATCAGTACCATAAGACGATGAAATACTCTTGCCAATCTTGTTATATCAATATGTATTATTATTTTTGTTGGGACTAGCAAGTATCATTTCTGCAATTAGCATTGTTTCAAAGCACGAGGGTCAATTTGTTCAAGGTAGTCCAATTCTACCAATGGATGATAATCTGGATTATGAATATTTGGCACTGCTACAGCTGGAGTTCTGATATGTGTGGCAGCATTAGGAGCTTTCGCAAATCGGAAATGTCGACAGTTCAAGATGGGACCTCTGAATAGGTATTGAATATCAAAAAGTTTCTTTCAAGCTATACCTTATATACATTTTTCCTTTTTAGTTACGCTATCTATAAAAGCGTGTTTCTTTAGTTTTTCAAACTACCATTTATTTCAACTTCTTTTAAAGTTCACTTGAATTTCCCAATTTTGACGAAATAATCATAATATATATTGAATAAAAACGGATCCTAATTACAAAATCCGCCATTTTGGATCCGCCATCTTGAATTTCTCAATTTGGACGAAGGAATCATATTCCCCGATCACGAAATCCCCTATAAGTACCAATTTTGAGAAGAATCGGATTATAATTACAAACCTCGTCCGCCATATTGGTTCCGCCATCTTGAATTTCCAAATTCCGCCCGAATTTTCAAATTCTGATGAAAGAATCATAATCTCCCACTCCGAAAACCCCCAGATACCAATTTTGAATAGAATCGGACCATAATTACAAAACTCGTCCGATATATTAGATCCGCCATCTTGAATTTCCTAATGGTACCGGGATAAAAAGTATCCTATAACATTCTCCTGGTTCTAAGCTACCTCTCCACCAATTTTCAGCCAAATCGATTCAGTAGTTTCGGAGCCTATTCAATACATACGAACAAACAAATAAACAAATCTTTCCTCTTTATAATATCAGTATAGATAATTGTTTTAGATGTATGACAAAACTGACATTCATCATACAGGGCGTGGAAAGAAATTCTGAATTGAGAAAAAACCCAATCACGAATCTGCGATTGAAGGTCTATAAAAATAACAAGTTTCCATCGTTCAAGTTTGAACCCCTTGATTGGGTATGAAAGTATTGAAAAGGAATATTCTCAGATATATTATAAACATGAAAAAATTGATTCATTTGAATAAATACATTGAGAATTCGCATTCTCTATGTGATGAAATTATTAATTCTTTCTCGGTATATTCAACAGAAAACAACTACTTCCCTGGCTATATGCCACGACGAACATTGAATTATATCAATTGAACATACACGATAGGAATTTGAGAATAAAATGAATATCTTCTGAAATTGAGAATTGACATTCTCTTCCAGAATCGGATGAATAATATGATGAATATAACGATATAAAAATATATTACTTACCAAATTGGTATGAAAATTGGAATGTATGGGAGAAATATACTAGTATACATACTCTGTTCTTATTGAGTCGTGAATTTATCAAAAAATCATTCGTATCCATGATGTTTGGGATATATGCACATCTCTTTCACATAGGTTAGATGATTTTGATTCGAATAAAATTCATTTCGAGCTTCAAACTCTCCTCAGTAACCTGAAGTCCAGTCATTCCTTCAGCCATTCTTCATTTAAAACTCAATTTTCACATTTCTATAATGATATAACTAAAACTATAGTGGAACTGACATCTATCTGAGAATGAAAATTTGTTGACTTATCTCCAGTCATGTGGGTGGCAATTGTTTTAGATGTATGACAAAACTGACATTCATCATACAGGGCGTGGAAAGAAATTCTGAATTGAGAAAAAACCCAATCACGAATCTGCGATTGAAGGTCTATAAAAATAACAAGTTTCCATCGTTCAAGTTTGAACCCCTTGATTGGGTATGAAAGTATTGAAAAGGAATATTCTCAGATATATTATAAACATGAAAAAATTGATTCATTTGAATAAATACATTGAGAATTCGCATTCTCTATGTGATGAAATTATTAATTCTTTCTCGGTATATTCAACAGAAAACAACTACTTCCCTGGCTATATGCCACGACGAACATTGAATTATATCAATTGAACATACACGATAGGAATTTGAGAATAAAATGAATATCTTCTGAAATTGAGAATTGACATTCTCTTCCAGAATCGGATGAATAATATGATGAATATAACGATATAAAAATATATTACTTACCAAATTGGTATGAAAATTGGAATGTATGGGAGAAATATACTAGTATACATACTCTGTTCTTATTGAGTCGTGAATTTATCAAAAAATCATTCGTATCCATGATGTTTGGGATATATGCACATCTCTTTCACATAGGTTAGATGATTTTGATTCGAATAAAATTCATTTCGAGCTTCAAACTCTCCTCAGTAACCTGAAGTCCAGTCATTCCTTCAGCCATTCTTCATTTAAAACTCAATTTTCACATTTCTATAATGATATAACTAAAACTATAGTGGAACTGACATCTATCTGAGAATGAAAATTTGTTGACTTATCTCCAGTCATGTGGGTGGCAATTGTTTTAGATGTATGACAAAACTGACATTCATCATACAGGGCGTGGAAAGAAATTCTGAATTGAGAAAAAACCCAATCACGAATCTGCGATTGAAGGTCTATAAAAATAACAAGTTTCCATCGTTCAAGTTTGAACCCCTTGATTGGGTATGAAAGTATTGAAAAGGAATATTCTCAGATATATTATAAACATGAAAAAATTGATTCATTTGAATAAATACATTGAGAATTCGCATTCTCTATGTGATGAAATTATTAATTCTTTCTCGGTATATTCAACAGAAAACAACTACTTCCCTGGCTATATGCCACGACGAACATTGAATTATATCAATTGAACATACACGATAGGAATTTGAGAATAAAATGAATATCTTCTGAAATTGAGAATTGACATTCTCTTCCAGAATCGGATGAATAATATGATGAATATAACGATATAAAAATATATTACTTACCAAATTGGTATGAAAATTGGAATGTATGGGAGAAATATACTAGTATACATACTCTGTTCTTATTGAGTCGTGAATTTATCAAAAAATCATTCGTATCCATGATGTTTGGGATATATGCACATCTCTTTCACATAGGTTAGATGATTTTGATTCGAATAAAATTCATTTCGAGCTTCAAACTCTCCTCAG